AGGATTAAAAGTAGGCTGTGTCATTCTCCTGTCCATAAACGCTCTCTAGATAATTCATTCAACATTACGAGTAGGAACACTAAAAAACATGTCGTTTTGTAGCTTCATTGCTGCGTGAAATTACGGCAAACCAACAAACACACTTTCGCTTTTATAATATTATTAAGGATTAAAAGTGAACTTTTAGGATTATTTTATAGAATTAGATGAATTGCCTCATTTCGAGTAAAAAGGGTCTCCGGTTCTCTACACTCACCATACGTAACACAGAAGCATTGAGCTGCCATTTTACGATAGTATTCTATGACAGCGGTCCTTCCGCGGATGTGCCCATTTGTGCTACAACAATAGGTGCAGCTTGGCTCTACCACGTAATAAATATATACACATATTCCAACAAATCAAACCGTATTTCAGAAGTTACCATTAATGGAAGCATTCAAATTGTAAACGCTATTGTACTTGCTTGCTCTACTTTGTACTTTGGTTAACTATTCAGTATGAATAGATGTATGTGTAAGTAAATACCTATTTGAATTAGAATCCGGTCTATATTCGTTAACACCACATTTTTTATAATAAAATAATTAAGTTTCAAGTAATTAAAACTGAGCTAAGATAATGAAGGATTACTAATATATTACTAGAATATTACGTATTGTTTAATGTTATATTAAAATTCTCTTTACAGAAAAGGAGAACGAATTTTTCAATAAAACTGAAACTACCTACAGAATTTTATTTTAAAAGAAGAATTATTATAATAATTACACATGCGGGGTGAGTAAAAATGAGATCTATTCTTTCACACCTACAAAAAGTATACAATAACGTCTTCAGACTGTTTTCTGGTCTGATGCGTATACAGAGCCAGTACAATCTATATACGAATATGTAGCCTTCTTTGTTTCAAATTGACTACAGATGTCTATGTCTTTTTTTTTTAAATGAAAGATGTGGCATGCACGCGGCTCACCTGAGGGAAAGTGATCACCGTCGCCCGTGAACATCCACAACACCAGAGAAATGGAAGGTGCGTTGCCATTCTTTTAAAAATAAAAACAAAATATTATGTAACAAAGTATTTTTTTAAATTAATCTTATTGTTTCTTGGTATCAGACATAGCCACTTGTTTGGTTTGAAACCAGTTTTGTTATAGACAGCAAGATAAATCGACCCAAGAAATCATAAGGGTGATTGGATGGATGGATGGATGATGAAGGCACAATTAATCACAATGTAAGAAAATGGTACAAATATTCTAAATTACAATTTTGAAGTTTCTTTTGCACAGTACAAGGAATTCCAGATATAACACCAAAATTATACTTTTCCAAGAATGCTCTCCTTTAAAACGATTTGGTCTGCAAAAATGAAAGAGGGAGTAAGTTGCGCATTGAAAAAATGCCTCGAGGAACAGCATCGCCGTAACAATTCTTTTAAAATTTTCTTGGTTATGCAAGCTGCTTTTTAAAGAATTTATTAATCTGATATACTTTAAGTTGAAATTACTTTCTTTTGCCTTATTATTTAAAATAAAAAAAATAATCGACGATTAGCTAAGCAACTTTTAGAATAAGTTAGAGCGTTAAACGAGCATGAAGCCCGATTGGATACACAAAATAGGTAACGCGGTTGACCCCCTCTAAGTATCCTAAGAATCCCCCTTAGAAATTATTGGTGGCTTTTTCCAACACTAGGACAAAACGCTGCTGTTTAAGTTAACTTCTATAATTATAATTAAAAAGCATCCGAGTAACGCTGACAACATTACTCGTACTTCTGTTACGTGTTGTACGAAGTTCGAAGCGATAGTAGCTTAATGTAGTAGAAAGTCGTGGCTTCAAATTCAAACATTTTTAAGCTTTTTTATAGAATAAGGGTGATAAACGAACACACAGCCTACCTGATGGTAAGTAGATGCTAAAGCCCATATACATCTACATCTAATCCACAATTAATAATCAAAGCGAAGATGTGCTGTCACCCCTGAGGTTCAAAATGAAATGCCTTGTTTTCAGTAAAAGTTTTCTCCAGTTCCCTATACTCAACATATGAAACGCTTGATAGCGTGGTTTTTCTCCGGTTAAGATGACCCATTCGTGCTACAACGATAATTTAAATAGCCTATGGGCCACAGTACCCGCTTACCATCAGATAGACTGTGTGCTCGTTTCTCACCCTTATTCTAAAAAAAACATTAACCTACAATATCCTATTATGTAAAATGTAAAAGTGCAATTTAAAGAAATTTCTGCTTTTACATTAGAATTCTACATTACCAGAAATTTTCTTAATATAAACCGATTCGCAGAGTCTGCAACTGTCTTCCTATGGATGTAAAAATGCCTTTCCTTAAATCAATCGGTAAATCGAATACGTGTCTTGTATATTATCTTTGAAACTGATCAGTTCGGTTCTTTCCACAAAGAGAACGTGGGGATAACGATGTTATCAAATGGCTTTATAAAGATATAGAACCGTAGTGCAGCAAAATAAATGTTGATAATATATAAGCTCTGTGTATAAGCCCGCGCCATAAGTTCTATTTTCAAAGATTCAAGGTCTCTGTTTAACAAATTAATTAATGATTGAACAAATGATCCCTACCATTTGTTCAATCATTAATTCACTTCATCATATAGAGGATAACAACATGGCATCGTTGATCTAGTGATCGTAAACGTGATTGCTGACTGTAAGGTCACAGAGTCAAATTTGCGGGTAGATACAAAATCAGTTTTTGGGCTGAATGGGTTAATCTGTAAAAAAAACCCTCAGTAGCAGCCTGGAGTAAGGGAGTTGGCAGTATTGATATAATGATTTCCTATATTTACGCGAACACTAGACATTGAATAAAACTATTTTTACGGATTTTATCGCGTTTAATTAACTTATTTTATATTCCCGACGTTTCGGTTGCTTTCCAGCAACCGTGGTCACGGGGGACTGAGGTGATTGACGTCCCGATGTCAAAGTTAACCCGGAGTACCTTCAGCTTTTTAATTATTAATTTTGGTCCGATCTACGCAGAATGAACTAACTGTGTCTTGAAGTCTTACAGTGGTATGCTTGGGTTTAGTTTTAATTTTATTAATTACAGGATCCCAAGCAGGTGGTAGTACCCAGCCTCCCTCTCTATTGAAATTAGGATGTTTTTTAATTTCAATAGCCTCACGTATCATCCTTGGCAGGAATCGATGTTCTTTCGCGAGGACTTGTGGTTTATCAAATCTAATGTAATGACGGGGGCCGTCTAGGATATGATCACAAACTGCAGACTTCCCGGAACGTTGGTGCTTCACGTCAGCTATGTGTTCTTTTACGCGGGTTTTTATTGATCGTTTTGTTTGCCCTATATATGAGAGACCACACTCACAATCAAGCTTGTATACTCCTGCATCTTGTAGAGGAATATTGCACTTGACGGATGGTAAGAACTGACTAATCTTCTTCGGCGGCTTGAAGAATGTTCTAATAGAAGCTCGCTTCAAGATGTAGCCAATCTTGTCTGTGACACCTCTGACATATGGTAGTACAGCAGGCACACGCTCGACTGTGGCCGGCTTCACTCGGTCACTGTGACGTAGGCGCGGAACCCGAAGCTTGTTGTCGTGCAGAACCTGCTTGACGTGCTGAAGCTCGGCGGCCAGGTGTTTGCTGTCACAGATCCCTCGTGCTCTCTGCAACAAAGATTTGCCCACGGTAGCTAACTGTGAAGGGTGATGGTGGGATTCACCGTTTAAGTATTGGTTTGTATGGGTCTTTTTTCTATACACAGTGTGACCTACGGTGTTATTAGGATTTCGAATGACTAACACATCTAGGAAAGCTAAACAATTATTTGCCTCTAACTCCATAGTAAATTGAATTTTAGAGTTTATGGAATTAAGATGTTTTAAAAATGCAGTTACTTTGTCTGATGGTAAAATTGTGAAAGTATCGTCTACGTACCGCTTGTAGAAACTTGGAGTTACTGGTGCAGTAAGCAGGGCTTTCTCCTCAAAGTCCTCCATGAAAATATCGGCGACAATGGGAGATACCGGTGAGCCCATCGCAAAACCATCTACTTGCTTGTAAAACTGTTCCTTCCACAATAGGTAGCCAGATGTAAGGCAATGTCTGAGTAATACTGCATATTCTGCTGGCATGTTGTTTTCCTCTAGTTTCCTAGTTATAATTGAGATGCAGTCTTCAATAGGTAGGCATGTAAATAAAGACTGAACATCAAAACTGACCATAGTTTCATTGTCAGTAAGACATAGGTCTTTTATCTCACTGACAAAATGGTATGAATCCTTAGTGTGTGCTCTTGTATGTCCTCTGAGTGGTGATAGTACTTTTGCTAAGTGTTGAGCCAATCTGTAAGTTGGCGAATCGATCTGACTCACTATTGGACGTAATGGAGCGTTCGGTTTGTGTATTTTTGGTAACCCATACAACTTCGGCGGTTTGGCACACGTAGGTATTATCGAATTTACGTCTAGATTCAGTTTCTCTAGTATTTCTTTATAAGATCGCTAGTTGTTTTAAGCGTATTAGTTGTAGGGTCTGTTTTGACCTTTACGTACGTACTTTCATCCGATAAAAGTTGTTGTATTTTAAAATTGTAATCCGACGTATCCATTATAACCGTAGCATTACCTTTATCTGCGCGGAGAACCAGATCTTACGTACGTAAAGGTCAAAACAGATAACTAATACGCTTAAAACAACTAGCGATCTAATAAATAAATACTCCGAGAAACTGAATCTAGACGTAAATTCGATAATACCTACATGTGCCAAACCGCCGAAGTTGTATGGGTTACCAAAAATACACAAACCGAACGCTCCATTACGTCCAATAGTGAGTCAGATCGGTTCGCCAACTTACAGATTGGCTCAACACTTAGCAAAAGTACTATCACCACTCAGAGAACATACAAGAGCACACACTAAGGATTCATACCATTTTGTCAGTGAGATAAAAGACCTATGTCTTACTGACAATGAAACTATGGTCAGTTTTGATGTTCAGTCTCTATTTACATACCTACCTGTTGAAGACTGCATCTCAATTATAACTAGGAAACTAGAGGAAAACAACATGCCAGCAGAATATGCAGTATTACTCAGACATTGCCTTACATCTGGCTACCTATTGTGGAAGGAACAGTTTTACAAGCATGTAGATGGTGTTGCGATGGTCTCACCGGTATCTCCCATTGTCGCCGATATTTTCATGGAGGACTTTGAGGAGAAAGCCCTGCTTACTGCACCAGTAACTCCTAGTTTCTACAAGCGGTACGTAGACGATACTTTCACAATTTTACCATCAGACAAAGTAACTGCATTTTTAGAACATCTTAATTCCATAAACTCTAAAATTCAATTTACTATGGAGTTAGAGGCAAATAATTCTTTAGCTTTCCTATATGTATTAGTCATTCGAAATCCTAATAACACCGTAGGTCACACTGTGTATAGAAAAAAGACCCATACAAACCGATACTTAAACGGTGAATCCCACCATCACCCTTCACAGTTAGCTACCGTGGGCAAATCTTTGTTGCAGAGAGCACGAGGGATCTGTGACAGCAAACACCTGGCCGCCGAGCTTCAGCACGTCAAGCAGGTTCTGCACGACAACAAGCTTCGGGTTCCGCGCCTACGTCACAGTGACCGAGTGAAGCCGGCCACAGTCGAGCGTGTGCCTGCTGTACTACCATATGTCAGAGGTGTCACAGACAAGATTGGCTACATCTTGAAGCGAGCTTCTATTAGAACATTCTTCAAGCCGCCGAAGAAGATTAGTCAGTTCTTACCATCCGTCAAGTGCAATATTCCTCTACAAGATGCAGGAGTATACAAGCTTGATTGTGAGTGTGGTCTCCCATATATAGGGCAAACAAAACGATCAATAAAACCCGCGTAAAAGAACACATAGCTGACGTGAAGCACCAACGTTCCGGGAAGTCTGCAGTTTGTGATCATATCCTAGACGGCCCCCGTCATTACATTAGATTTGATAAACCACAAGTCCTCGCGAAAGAACATCGATTCCTGCCAAGGATGATACGTGAGGCTATTGAAATTAAAAAACATCCTAATTTCAATAGAGAGGGAGGCTGGGTACTACCACCTGCTTGGGATCCTGTAATTAATAAAATTAAAACTAAACCCAAGCATACCACTGTAAGACTTCAAGACACAGTTAGTTCATTCTGCGTAGATCGGACCAAAATTAATAATTAAAAAGCTGAAGGTACTCCGGGTTAACTTTGACATCGGGACGTCAATCACCTCAGTCCCTCGTGACCACGGTTGCTGGAAAGCAACCGAAACGTCGGGAATATAAAATAAGTTAATTAAACGCGATAAAATCCGTAAAAATAGTTTTATTCAATGTGTAGTGTTCGCGTAAATATAAGAAATCATTATGTAAACCAGTACGGACTGGAAATAGCAAATAAAATACGCCGACTAGAATATCTCAAAACCAAGCGCGCAAGATACATAACAGCTTTAAACTTCTTGAAGAGATGCAGAGACCATAATCTCATTCCTACGTGTGTCAAGATATCTACTAAAAAAGACATTCGAGGAAGCGCTAAGATCTTAAATCAGGCAAGCAAAAAATTGTTAATAACGGTGATTCAGCAAAAACGTACCGATCTATGTTTCATTAATAAAACCATAGACAAATCGTCCAGTGATCTAAAGACAGTTTTATCGACATTTGATTATAAGAATTGCATGGAAACTTTAGACAAACGTGAAACAACTAAATACAATGAATGCAAAAATAAACATATAGATAAATACCAAAAACTAACAACCAAATCAAATGTCCAACGCCAATGTCAACGTAATAACGGAACGCAATCATTGACAACAGACGCGAGTAATAAACAACGTGCGGTCTATAACCTGTCAAAACAATCTCTAGACGACGCGACAATAAAAGTTTTGGCCAAAGGTATGAATTTTGCTATAATACCGCAAAAAATTCCGTATGAAAACATTATCTGTAGTGTTGAGGACTGTCTGTATAAAAATAATATTGGTAAAGAAGATTTAGAGGCTATATGTCAAGACATTTCGTCCTTGTTACGTCGAAGCTCAGCGCCGAAATTAAATCTTCCCAAAGATGAATTTACTGCATTGAAAAACTTACGCAACAGACCAGATCTTACGATTCTCCGCGCAGATAATGGTAATGCTACGGTTATAATGGATACGTCGGATTACAATTTTAAAATACAACAACGTTTATCGGATGAAAGTACGTACATAAAGGTCAAAACAGACCCTACAACTAATCCGCTTAAAACAACTAGCGATCTAATAAAGAAATACTCCGAGAAACTGGATCTAGACGTAAATTCGATAATACCTACGTGTGCCAAACCGCCGAAGTTGTATGGGTTACCAAAAATACACAAACCGAACGCTCCATTACGTCCAATAGTGAGTCAGATCGATTCGCCAACTTACAGATTGGCTCAACACTTAGCAAAAGTACTATCACCACTCAGATGATATACAAGAGCACACACTAAGGATTCATACCATTTTGTCAATGAGATAAAAGACCTATGTCTTACTGACAATGAAACTATGGTCAGTTTTGATGTTCAGTCTCTATTTACATGCCTACCTGTTGAAGACTGCATCTCAATTATAACTAGGAAACTAGAGGAAAACAACATGCCAGCAGAATATGCAGTATTACTCAGACATTGCCTTACATCTGGCTACCTATTGTGGAAGGAACAGTTTTACAAGCATGTAGATGGTGTTGCGATGGGCTCACCGGTATCTCCCATTGTCGCCGATATTTTCATGGAGGACTTTGAGGAGAAAGCCCTGCTTACTGCACCAGTAACTCCTAGTTTCTACAAGCGGTACGTAGACGATACTTTCACAATTTTACCATCAGACAAAGTAACTGCATTTTTAGAACATCTTAATTCCATAAACTCTAAAATTCAATTTACTATGGAGTTAGAGGCAAATAATTCTTTAGCTTTCCTATATGTGTTAGTCATTCGAAATCCTAATAACACCGTAGGTCACACTGTGTATAGAAAAAAGACCCATACAAACCGATACTTAAACGGTGAATCCCACCATCACCCTTCACAGTTAGCTACCGTGGGCAAATCTTTGTTGCAGAGAGCACGAGGGATCTGTGACAGCAAACACCTGGCCGCCGAGCTTCAGCACGTCAAGCAGGTTCTGCACGACAACAAGCTTCGGGTTCCGCGCCTACGTCACAGTGACCGAGTGAAGCCGGCCACAGTCGAGCGTGTGCCTGCTGTACTACCATATGTCAGAGATGTCACAGACAAGATTGGCTACATCTTGAAGCGAGCTTCTATTAGAACATTCTTCAAGCCGCCGAAGAAGATTAGTCAGTTCTTACCATCCGTCAAGTACAATATTCCTCTACAAGATGCAGGAGTATACAAGCTTGATTGTGAGTGTGGTCTCTCATATATAGGGCAAACAAAACGATCAATAAAAACCCGCGTAAAAGAACACATAGCTGACGTGAAGCACCAACGTTCCGGGAAGTATGCAGTTTGTGATCATATCCTAGACGGCCCCCGTCATTACATTAGATTTGGTAAACCACAAGTCCTCGCGAAAGAACATCGATTCCTGCCAAGGATGATACGTGAGGCTATTAAAATTAAAAAAATATCCTAATTTCAATAGAGAGGGAGGCTGGGTACTACCACCTGCTTAGGATCCTGTAATTCATAAAATTAAAACTAAACCCAAGCATACCACTGTAAGACTTCAAGACACAGTTAGTTCATTCTGCGTAGATCGGACCAAAATTAATAATTAAAAAGCTGAAGGTACTCCGGGTTAACTTTGACATCGGGACGTCAATCACCTCAGTCCCCCGTGACCACGGTTGCTGGAAAGCAACCGAAACGTCGGGAATATAAAATAAGTTAATTAAACGCGATAAAATCCGTAAAAATAGTTTTATTCAATAAATTATTTATATTAAAAAAATTTAACATTTGATCAAGAACAATTTTTTCAAAAATCTTACTAAGTGTTGGTAGTACAGAAATAGGTCTAAAATTGGCGGGGTCTAATGTACTACCAGATTTAAATAAAGGTATTACTTTACTATGCTTCATTAAATCAGGAAACACACCAGATTCGATACTAGTATTAAAAATAATAGCTAAATGAGGCGCGATTGTATCTATTATAGACGCAATAACTTTAACGGAAAAGAAAGTGTTCTAATTATTTAATATTATAAAACACATTACTAATTCACGCAATCATACTCACATCGAATTCGTATCAAATACCTTCAATTCACTAATTTTCTTACAGCAAACACACACACACACACACACACACACACACACACACGCGCGCGCGCACGCACGCACGCACGCGCACACATACACACACACATGTATACACACACACCCACACACACACACACACACACACACACACACACACACACACACACACACACACACACACACACGCACACACACACACACACACACACACACACTACTTACAACGCACACACGCGTATCTGTATTTATTGACTTTATTTTTTATGTTTTGTTTATTTTGATTCAACAAAAAAGCTTGCTAAATATAGAAAGGAACTAGCTCCATTTAGTTAGGTTAACATTTTACAGGAGCTATGGTCACATTGATGTACGTATGTATATATTGTTGTGATTATTGCAATAACAATTTTTCGTTTTTTTTTTCAATTGTCAAGCGATGTTGTGTGGCAATCCACGTGAATGAAATGCATCGCACCACGTTTGTTTCTGTAGTGCACAAGGAAAAAGTGAGTGAATATAGGGAACTCTTCTTTCTCGTCACACCAGTGAGCACGAGCTGCTTTTTTCCTTCTGATCTGCTAGCCCAAATTCGCAAGCACTGCAACATAGTCATGACTATAGCTTCCTCCGGCATCGCTCCGGCATCATAATACTGTGGCAGTCCACAGCTTGTCGTAGGACTCGTCGAAGGTGTGCCACTTAGCCTGGTCTTCAGCTACACGAATCCAGTTTCTACCAACCACCAGATCGTTGCCGCATCTATTCAGTGGACGTCCCATACTACGTTTGCCTAGACGCGGTTTCTACTCCATAATAAGTCTACTATACCGGTTCTCACTTCTGTGACATACTTGCATAGATGTTATGTCAGTAATCTCTGTTCTCAAGCTGATTTATTAATAATATCAACAAGATATATTTATTGTGTCAACGCATCTGCATTTTGATACTTAATAGAGGACAAAAATGTAGATGTCTATGGGCCACAGCATCGTCTTACTATCAAGTCGACTATGTCCTCGTTTGCCACCCTTATTATTTAAAAAATCAGGCTCTGGCTGATGGGTGTTGTTGCAATTTTACTAGCAGACGACAATACTACCTAACTACAGAAACTGCCAGTTATACTCTGTGGTTCACCATTTTCTATCATTACAGTCCTTCAAAAATCCACTGCTGAACAAAGGGCTCCCCCACACGCCACAAAGCACGGCCTCGAGCCACCTGTATCTGACTTCATGCATATCTTACCAGGTCGTCACTCCATCTAGTGGGGGGACACCCAACTCTTTTCCTACCGGAACGAGGCTGCCACTCGAGAACTTTTCTTCCACATTGGTAGTCAGTTCTTCGAGTTATATGGCTGGCCCATTGACACTTTAGCTCACTAATCTGTTAGGCTATGTCGATAACTCTGATTCTACTGCAGATATCCTAATATTTAAGTCAATCACGCGAAGAAACCCCGAGATTATCCATCTCCATAGCTCGCGTAGCAAATTTGAGTTTCTTCATATAGCTAGCAGTGAAGGACAAAGGATTCAAATCGGGTGGGCAGCGTTCGGAAGATTATGACAGCTCTTCTCGTCAGGCATACCTAAAACATCCAAAACCAAAATTTTACAACCATTACGTATTGCCATTGATGATCTATGGATATGGATTGGATTATAGCACGAGATGGACGGAGCGTTGACTTCATTTGACCTGACTTCGCCAACTTAACGTTTAGTTTTAATGTGACTCTCACTATTTGGTAATCGTAGCCAGCTTTCACCCTTGCGATCACTGATATATCATTGAACAGTTGACATCTGGTCGTCATAATGAAGTCAATCTTATTTTTGTCGAACCGTCGGGGCTGACCAGGTCCACTTTCAGTGGGGCTGATTTAGAAGAAAGGGTTCATCATAAAGAGTCCCTCTTTCTCCATGAAGTCAATCAGGTGCTGGCCCCTTGGGTTTCGTTGCCCTATTCCAAATTCCCCTTATTTCAGCTCACCGTTTTTTTTTGTGCCTAATTTTGTGTTGAAGTCTCTCAATAATACCGTATATTTGATTTTAGAGGAACGCATGTTTCTAGAGATATCCTCATAAGTTTTCTCCACCTCTTAATCCGCGTGTGTTGAGATTAGTGCGTAAACACTATGGAAACTATGTGCGTATACTCAGAATCACGAAACTGATGCTGAGTATAAGGTACGCATCGCTAGTCGATACACTCCCAAAATTTACAACGTTGTTAACGGGAGACTTGTGGACGATAAATTCGACAGACAGACGATCACCCTTCCGGTGATGGAACAAGTTGCCAGATTCAAGGATTACTGTGTCCTCCTTGTCTCTTCGGACCTCAGATAATCATAAATTAATAATCTAAAAAAAACGCAACTTGTTTATATCTTCTTACAGCTCAAGTCCTCAAGATAAGACTTTATATGTTGCCGGGTCGAGTCGTGTTAGGTGGCAACCAAACCACCACCGGAGATTCTTAGCACCAGCTGCCCCCCCTCCTCCTACTCCCGTTACCGTGGTCACCACCGTAGCTTGGAATAGCGGGGCCGCTGGGGACTGGGGGCCGTTTGTTTGTGGCGTTGCTCATGAAGGATATTTTGCCATAGTTGCCACACATGGCGAGCGGGTTGGCAACCGCAGTTTTTATTGCTTTTTGCTGTTATCAGAAAGAAGCTGCTGCCCATCTTCTACCTCAGTTTAGCTCTGTCGCCTCTTACGACACCCACGGGAAGAAATAGAGTAGTAGGTATTCTTACCCGCCACTACATGAGGTTGTGTTTCAGGGTGTCTTTCAACTCTGTGATTCAATGTGGAAAAACTACATCTGACGAGCAACAGACTTATTATTCACGCCC